AAGGAATTCATGTAACACCACAATGCTGCCATCTATTTGGGAGGATTGAAGCCAAGCACTCTCTCAACTCAGCAAGGAATGCAAGGCACGTCTTCCCAAGCAATAACACAAAGGTTGTTGGATCAGCATCATTTCCAAGCTGAACATAGATCACGGGTGTCAAACTCGCGGTGTCACATTGCCCTCACGTGACAAAGAGCCCTGGTGGCGCAGCAGACTAAAGCACTGTTATTAACATCAGCTGCCTGCAATTACTGCAAGTTCAAATCTCACCAGGCTCAAGGTTGACTCAGCTTTCCATCCTTTCTAAGGTAGGTAAAATGAGGACCCGGATTGTGGGGGCAATAAGCTGACTTTGTATAAAATATACAAAAGTATGAAGGCTATTGCTTAACGCATTGTAAGCCGCCCTGAGTCTCCGGAGAAGGGCGGCATATAAATCAAATTAAATCAAATCAAATCAAATCAAATCAAATCAAATCAAATCAATCAATCAATATCATGTCATTCCCCTTCGTGGAGCTGGGATGGGCATGGCCTGTGTAGGATGCATCCGGGTTGCGTGCCGTGAATTTGACACTCCTGACATAGATGGTCACAGGGAGAGCAAATGATGTCACATGAGTCGTGACATCATCATACAAATCACAACTGATGAAAATTGTACAGCATGCCCTCATTTCTGTGATGCCATCATAACGTATGTGACACCACCACAATTCTTCCAGACGCCAATGCACTGTATTGCACTTCTGGAGATCAAACGATGTGAAATGACACTGTCGGGCACAAGTGCTTCCCATTATGCCAAGTGCACAAATAGACTTTATCGCTGTAGCCCATTGATTGCTTAAAAACAAGCCATTATCACAAAATAAGGCCTCAAAGATAAACAGTGGAACAGATGGTGCCTTTTTTTCAGCAAATGTAAACAAGCCTCAGTACAATTTAAACAAACGTGGATTCTGTAATAGCTAGTAAATTAACCTGCAGCCTGAAAACAGAAATCAGATGCCCACTCAGCAAAACACTTGAAAGGAGATTCCGATGTAAAGGCAAATCACAATCAGGTGTTAAGGAATTAATTCCATATTATCTGCATGGATGGCTATGACCTGAAATTTGTTTTCTTCCTCTTCCCACCTGCTGTCTTGTGATCTTAAAATGCAAGCAAATTGCTATTTGAACTATCCATTGTGCGTTGTATGCACTATGATTTAATAGAAAGTGTGGTCTGCCAATATCTCAGAAGTGAGAGTTTACATCATGTTATAAGAAGAGTAAGAAGAAAGATGCTAAAACCACAGATGGTCTATGCACATGATATCAATTAATGGCTGATTTACTCACAGACATCTAGTAAAAGCCCTACACAATGTGTGATTATCCTGTCATCATGCAAATGATACAATTCATGACATGAATGACATCATAGCAAAAGTGACATTCTTTGCACCTGTGAATGAGTACGCTGCAATGCTTCAACCTTACTACTAAATTCTGTATTTATGATTAATGTAACGATTATTTATGCTAGCTTCCTCCAATCTGATTCTCTTCACATATTCTGGACTATGAATCCATCACTCCAAATTAGCAATCCATCACTAATTTTACAAGAGCTCATAGAATTTGCTTTCCAGAGGATATACCATATTGGGTAAAACTTTTCAGGGGGGGAAATCCATCACATATTCATAGAACCATCAGTAATTTCTTCTCCCAGGACTTTTTATCTAAACCTGTGCTTTTATTATATGATCCTTTCTGTACACATTTCTGTACACAGCAGATCGTGTCCACAAGAAGGATCGAAACAGTTTTGGATACATTCAAATCTCTCCAGTATTATTGAAGTTTTGAATACTAAAGCAGTGTTTTCCAAACTTGGCAATTTTAAGATGTGTGGACTTCAACTCCCAGAATTCCCCAGCCAGCATGTGGGTGTTAATTGCAATTACATCTCATTTTGAATTCTTTATGATTCTTAACAAAGCAAGATAAAACCCCAAAGCCAAGTGCTGGCTTGAAAGAGAAGCCTAATCAAACGACAAGAGCTAGAATTTTTCTTTTCACTGAACAGAATACATAAAAGAGAGCCCCAAGCTGTTTCTTCAGTTTATAAGGCAGTAACGTTTGGGGAGGGAACCAAATATTATATGGAAATAATGCTTATCTAATTAAGCATTTAGGTATGGGTCATATGGGACACGGTGGCTCAGTGGCTAAGACGCTGAACTTGTCGATCAAAAGGTCGGCAGTTCAGTGGTTCGAGTCCCTAGCGTCCCGTAATGGAGTGAGCTCCCGTTACTTGTTCCAGCTTCTGCCAACCTAGCAGTTCGACAGCACGTAAAAAATGCAAGTAGAAAAATAAGGACCACCTTTGGTGGGAAGGTAACAGCGTTCCGTGCGCCTTTGGCGTTTAGTCATGTCGACTACATGACCATGGAGACGTCTTCGGACAGCGCTGGCTCTTCGGCTTTGAAACAGAGATGAGCACTGCCCCCTGGAGTCAAGAACGACTAGCACATATGTGCGAGGGGAACCTTTACCTTTAATTAAATGATGTTGTCAGATGAAACCAAACTAGGGCTGGGCAACACCTGAGAGATCGAAAGTCACAATTCAACATCCTGAATTTTTTCAACTTGCTTTTTCTGTCTGAAGTTTAATTTAATTTAATTTAATTAATCATATTTCTATGCCACCCAACTCCCTAGGGACTAAAGTTGACAAATAAGGAAGAATAGGAGAGGGCCCCAAAAATGTATTAGGCCAATTCCAGGCCAATTTAGGAGAGTGGTGCTGGTTAAAGAAAAGGCTCGAAGTAATTTGCTCCTTGGGGCCTTTTTGCTTCTATTCCCACCCTGATTTCTTTTTCTTTTTGTAAGAAAGTGGGGGGGAAGGGAACCCTACATCGCCAAAAAGTCAAACATGTTGCGCTTGTTTGAAAAATTCAAACTCAATGTGCTTGAAGGGCAATATTCAGTGTACCAAAAGCTAGGCCGCCTGGAAAAATGTATTATATAAATTAACATTAAATTTTCAACTTGGTTGCCATTTTCTTTTAAAAGTTTCTTTGTTTGCTTGACCTGTGACTGTTGAACATTCCTAAATCCAGTTACATTTTCTCTGAAAAATAAAAAAAAAATAACAAAATTAATAAAACCTATTGTGATTGGCCTATGGGGCTTGACTTTGAGAACACCCTGTATGCAATATATACTAATGAGCAGCCACATTCTCAGGAGAGATCTAATTCTGAAAGATGATGTGAGGATTTGGGGCATTTTTCTATTTAATTTTTAAGACATACAGTATATACGAACATGCACACACACTCCTGCAGCAGGGCCCAATCCGTGGGGGCTGGGAGAACTATAGGAGAACAAGATTTTGTGCCACCTCAACGGCCTTCTCAAAGGAGCACAAATCTGGTCATGATAAGCAACACTATTGTTGAGACTTGCTCTAGAAGAGTTTCTCTCTTGTATAGATTCCAATTAAGCTGTTCCTATCTTGAACATATCCCCTGCAAATTATGTGTTCTTTTTATCTTAGTCAGGGATGTCAAACTCAAGGCCCACGGGCCTAATCCGGCCCACGGAATGCTTAGATCTGGCCCGCGGGCCCACCCTGGAAACAATGAGGGACCAGCCCGTGGTGCCTCTGCCAGCAAAAACGGGCTCCTGAGTTCCTTTTCCGGCTGCGATGGCGGCCATCGCAGCTGGAAAAGGAGCTCAGGAGCCCGTTTTCACTGGCAGAGTGCTCGGAGTGCCACAGGTGCCCCCAACATGAGTGACATCAAGCAGGCCATGCCCACTCTGGCCAAGATCAAACATAACCCTGATGCGGCCCTCAATGAAATCGAGTTTGACACCCCTGTTCTACAGTTAAAAGATAAAGGTCCCCCTCGCACACACGTGCTAGTCGTCCCCGACTCTAGGGGGGCTGTGCTCATCTCCGTTTCAAAGCCAAATAGCCAGCACTGTCCAAAGACATCTCCGTGGTCATGTGGCTGGCATGACTCAACGCCAACCTTAGATATTTTTAATTGTTAATTGATTTTAGTTGGGGTGTTTTAAATTTATTGGGCCAAAATTTGTTTAATTCTTTTTTAAAAAATAATTTTAAATTTTTGTATGTGATGTTTTTATTCTTGGCTGTTCACCGCCCTGAGTCCAGTGGGAGAAGGGCAGTATAAAAATCTAATAAAATAAAATGATAAATAAATAAAATAAAGGCACACGGAATGCTGTTACCTTCCCACCAAAGTGGTCCCTATTTTTCTACTTGCATTTTTTACGTGCTTTCGAACAGCTAGGTTGGCAGAAGCTGGGACAAGTAACAGGAGCTCACCCCGTAACACGGCACTAGGGATGTTCTACAGGTACAGTAGTCCTAAACTAACAGCCACAATTGGCACAGAATTTCTGAGCTAAGCAAGATAGTTGCTGAGCCTATTTTGTTACCTTTTTGCTACAACTGTTAAGTGAATCTCTGCAGTTGTTAAGTGAATCATGCGGTCATTAAGTGAATCTGGCTTCCCCCATTTACTTTGCTTGTCAGAAGCTGGTTGGGATGGTTGCAATTGATTATCACATGATCTCAGGATCCTGCAGCTATTGTCAAATCGTGCACGTTAGTAAGCACCTGAATTCTGATCATGAGTCCCTGAGGATGCTGCAATGGTCGTAAGTGTGAGGAGCAGTCATAATTTTTTTTGGGGGGGGATGACTCTGTAACTTCAAACGGTCACTAAACAAATGGTTGTAACTTATGTTTTGGTAAATAACATGTTCTATTAGACTGGAAAGTTTTTTATAGGGCTACTACTATTACATATTTTTTTCTTACAGTTTTACTCGCTTTAGGGTCACTATGGCCACAAATGGAATTAACAGATATCACTATATTGGAAGGAACAATACTGGACTTGTTTTAGGGAACCATCTTCATTAACAATTTTAGCAGCACATCACAAGAATAATACCCCTTACCTGAACCATCGGGAATAGATCTTACAAAGGTAGGCAGCATCTTTACAGAGGCCGTTGGGTTAAAATCCCTAGAGAGGCCATTCTTCATTTCGCTCCTGAAGCGACCCATAATATCCAGCAAAGTTTCATCCGACAGCCGCATGGCGTATAAATACTTATCAATCTATATAGGAGGCAGAGAGAAACACAGACGATTCAAACCTTGTGTGATTTTGTTTCTGAACATAAGGTTGCTAAATCTTTTGTAAAATGCTGAAGTATGGCATGCTCTAGACCAGAGTGTCAAACTCAAAGACTGCAGGCCGCATTTGACCCGTGGGGTGTTTAGATCTGGCACGCGGGGCCACCCTGCAAACAGCAAAGGACTGGCCCGCGGTGCTTCTGCCAGCAAAAATGGAGCTCGGGAGGGCCGCCGTTTTTGCTGGCAGAGGGTTGCAGGCAGCTGTCGCAGCCAAAAACGGAGCTCGGGAGCTCGTTTTTGCTGTCACGAATGCTCGGGCAGGTGCTCCCGACATGAGTGATGTCGAACTGGCCACGCCCCCCGTCCCCGAGGTCAAAAACAACCCTGATGCGGCCCTCAATGAAATCGAGTTTGACACCCCTACTCTAAACAAAATGCTTAGAGCAGGTAATATCCATTACAAATCTCTAATTCCATCAATGAAACACTTATGCCCCCACCCCAGGAAAATAAAACACAATACACAAACAAGACCACCTTGCTTTTGAGTTCAGGAAATCCCTGAGCTGAGAAGAAGCAGCTCAAAATTATTCTCTTTGTAATGTAGATCTATCCTAATGCTAGAGGAATGATGAAACAGAGAGGTTCTCAGCTGAACGTAAACAAAAGAAGACATCTCTGTATTGGTTCTAAGAAGTTCAGATTTCTCTATCAACACCACCTTAAACTGAGTCCAGAAAACAAGAAGTAGGCAAAAAACACACATGACCACCAGTGGAACCTCCAATCAGAAGACAAAATTGAACACAGTGTTCTAGCTGAAATTTCTTTACAGACATTTCACAGAGTAAAGGCAGACCACGGGCTGATACCAGTGTGGGAAGAAAAATCCAATCCAGTTCCAGTCCAGGAGAAAATCACTGGGAATAAAATGGAGGCTGGCTACAAGGAAAGAAGCTCTCTGTTTATTTGGTTTCCAGAAACTTCAGGGACAGTAGCATGTTTCTGGGGTGGCTGACAAAATGGCTGAGTGAGTGGATGGATCTTTATAAGATTTTGGGGTTTTGTGATTGAGATGCTTCAGGGAGTTGGGCAATGTAGTGTGCCTTGTGTCTTTTGCTATTCTAATGGTGGTGGGTAAATCCTATTATGTCCTAAAGATCATGTCCTGTCCTTAGAATTTGGGGGGGGGATGTAAATTCATAATCCCATCAACTCCAGCCTGGGGGAGCTGTGGCTGAAGGTGGTTTGTTGTGAATAGGCTGGCCTGGATTTCTGTAAATGGATACTGAATGGAATACTCCAGTTTTCTCAATAGATACAATAGTAACTCGTTCATAAAAAGTAATCGTTTACTTTTTACTTTTACTTTTACGTTTTACTTTTACCTAAGAAAGGGTAGGAGAGGGGAGTGCTGACTTCCTATACCAGTGACCAAACTCAATTTTACAACGTTTTTACAATGGTCATGAAAAAAATCACCACAGTTGTAAAATGAATTAAATAGTTGATAAGCAAACCCATTCTTCCAAATGGGCATTTTTTGCTGGAAACTAGCAAAAAAAACCCAAAACATAGGAAACTGACAACAAAAATAGAAATCATTGTGATTGTGGGAGGCTGCAATCCATCCTAAATGTGAACTGTTTGTCAAGCATCTGAAATGAGATCGTAGGGAGGAAGACTTGTAACTCCAAGAACAGGTTGGAAGTAACTTTTTAAAGTCTGCCACAATTTGTATGGTCATAAATTGGGACGAACTTTCCAGGTAGAGACATCACCATATCTCTTAATTCTTGTTGTAAGAGTTAATCTAACCTTTCCCATAACAAATATGTAAGCAACAGGTGTTTCCTGGGCAATGGACAAGCGTGAAAATATCATCTCCTACATTCATGCGTAGAGCCATCCTGGTTCATGGAGAGACTTGGAATTATAAATTACATGATGAGAAGCAGTTCTCCCTAAATGATTTATACTTAATTCCTGACAAGTATTTTAGACTTCAACTCACATCAGTCTCAAGTGGCTAGACAGATGACAAGGTTGGGCAGAGTACAGTATGACCCAAAATATCGGAAGGGAACCAAATGGCACATCTTTCATAGATACTATGAAGCAAATTAAAAGTAATAAAAGGTAGCATTCTGTGTAACCCAACAGCTAGAAATGAAGAAAGCCCCATTAATGCTAATTTGCTATTAATACAGTAATTCTCTGAAACACAGTAATTTTAGATATCATTTTAATCTTGATAAAGCATATTAATGATCAAGTCTTCCTTAACTTTTTTTAATCAATCTAATGGCTTCAACCAACATTTATCAGCCTTTTTAAAAACTTCCTTCTATCAGGGTGGATTTGATTTAAATCGAGTTGATTTAAATCACAATTTAAATCATGATTTAAATCACTAGTAAAAAGGCTTGATTTAAATCAACTCGATTTAAATCATAATTTTTAAAGAGCAACTGTCATCTCTGCTACTCCTTTGACCCACTGTTGACTCACCGATAGTCCCATGGTTGCAGAATATACAGCCTCATGCTACATAACTAAGCTCCATGTCATGCTGAATAAACTAAATTATTTATGTATCTTAAATAGAAAACTATCTTAGGATAGATTTTTACCCCAAAAGTTTTTTATTAAAATAAATTCAATAAAAATAAAAAAAAATCTGATTTAAATAAAAAAAATCCGATTTAAATCAAAAAAATCTGATTTTTTTTAATTTATTTTTTTTAAAATCATTGATTTTTATCCACCCTGCCTTCTATCCATGATCATGATCAAGAGGAACAAAATTGTTCCTGATGTTGCATTTGCTAAAGAACATTGAACCGCTGTCCTTAACTGTTTGGCTAGACATAGGTAAAACCTACTAACTCTAACCAATATTTCAAACAATAAATACTGGTTTATTCTGGATGAAAAAAGAACTTAATTCCCCTACCAACTTTCTACAAATAATATCATGTTTTAGACATTTGATGCCAGGTGTTGTTCAGTCCAACATTCTCACCCAACAATTTGATTTTAAAATGCCCCATGTTTTTATTTAAGCATTTACTTTGTACTACCTTCTCCCATAGATTCCAGATGCTTAGTTTCCGATCAGACTATCAAATCAAATACAGACCCAAGCAGGTGCTCTCTTCTAGCACTTTCGGGCCCATGACACACATATCAAACAGCAAATCAATAAAAGCAGAACTAAAATAGTTATATAATTCAGGGATGGGTTCTAAATTTTTTTACTACCGGTTCTGTGAGCGTGGCTTATTTTGTAGGTGTGGCTTGGAGGTCATGTGACTAGGTGGGCGTGGCTAGCTGGTCAGAGTCATTTCTGGAAGGTCCTTGCACTTACGACCAGTCCTCGCACTTACGACCCGACTCATTTGTTTGCTTTTAACACTGATCAGCTGTAGGACGGCCCTTTGAAGCCCTGCGGCAAGAGTTTAAACAGTTTTTTTCCCTCTAGTCATCAGCTGGGACTCAGGAGGCAGCAATAGATTGGGGGTGGGACCAAATAAAAGGTAAGAATAATGTGGGTGGGCGGGGGGTGGGAGAACCAGTTCGGTGACGTCATATCGTCACTGCTACCGGCTCGGCCGAACCGGACCGAACCGGGAGGAACCCACCACTGATGTAATTCCTTTGAAAATGTAAATGGATTGAAAACGGAAACCTGGTGGAGAAGAAATTGAGAACACTCTCACAGAGAAGCTGTTGAAAGAAATGTCCATCTGGGTTCAGTTCCAAGTGGGGAGAAAGACACTGGGAACATGGAGACTGCTTGGAAAGATGGTTTAATGGTGAACAGGACCACATGGTTTGAGGTCCTGGGTAAAAAGAGCACATGGGTGAGAGAGGGAGAGATTTATACCCTCTGTTGGGCTTTGAACTTTGTAGGCTGTCTGTGCCCCAGGCCTAGTTGAATCTTGCTGGGTGATGATGTAATGAAGGGGCTTTGCGCAATTCCTATTATGACTTTGTCCTGTTTTGGATCTTGACTGAGGGCTAATCCTATCATGTCCTGAGAGCCGTGTGTCTTTTGTGTTGTAAATAAACTGGCCCAGTTTTTTGTCTTGTAAATAACCAAAGTATCTGCTGGGGGCAGGGACCTGGGGCTGAGTTTCTGTCTTAAGATTTCTATCTCTCTTTTAGGAGAAATATTCTGCCTTTTAAATATTTCCTAGAATATTTCATTTTCCTAGGAGAGGGGTGGGTGCTAGCTTCCTACACTTCAATACAGGGAAGAGATCTCTAAAATGTAATCCAGCAAAAGGATAAGGTAGCTCTTGAGAAACTGAGGCTGTAATTTGCAATACGGTACTTAATATTATTCAAAAAATGGACCAGGAGTCTGAGTAACTATCCTAAATCTGGCCTGTGCTGGAGGGGCAGTAGGAAAGCAAAAGTCAGAAATACTTTTCCATGCATGCTCAACTGATTTGCAGTTTGCTTCCCTACAATCCTATTTATATTAAGATAATATAAATTCCCTTGGGGGTTGGGGAATTCTGGAAGTTTAAGTCCATCCATCTAAAGGTGGCCATAGCTGAGAAACACTGGAATAAGTAGTTGCTTTGAAGGCATTAGCAAAATGATTTTCATTACAATGCATGCAGAGATCAAGATGCAAAGGCTCACTAAGGAACTGCACTTTAGCAGGATTACCTGCCTGGTTAGAGAAAAAATTGTGCTATCATAGCACTGTATCCCCAAATGCAGCACCTGGCATCCCTCCAAGAAAGGACTAGAGGCCGTCTGCCAGCATGAAAGGCAGAGAAGGTTTTTAAGCTAACTAGACCCATGCCTTTAAATGTGATGTCATTCACAACGGATCAATCTGAAATAAATCTGTCCACAAATCTAGGACAGATTTGTGGCAAGAGAACGCAAGGGATGGCACACAGACCCTTAACTATTTCAAGTTAAATTCAAGAGGTCCTACCAGGTTCCTGAGTTCACAAGGG